TTTCTCATAACCTTTTCAGGCTCACAATTATTTCCCAATTGTATGAATTCTACCATTCAAAGTGCTTAAGCTGCATGTCACTTTGTCTGAATTTAGCTTTGTATGTCAGAATTGCCTTATTTGATCATTGTACTTTGAAAGTGAATGATGTCTGTTTTTTTTGTCTTGTGAATTTCTCAGCAATTGTTTTACATTCCAAGCGTATAACTATACAAGCGGCATCGCTATTAATTTTATCTTCCTCTCTTATTTGAATACAATACACAAGAGAAATTCCGGAAGATATCTTTTCAGGAAACCCCCAAGGATGAATTAGTGTGTGTTAAAAAATGTCGGAAGGTTGAATTACGAATTTTTCCTAAACCAATCAGTATTAATAGTGCCTAAAAAGTAGTTTGTGAAATATTTATTTTGAAAAACGAGTTTTAAGTTAGAACATACAGTGAGTGAGAGTTATTCGCACAATAGGATGATGATGGATCGACTGATGAATTTGATAGGTATTTCAGAATGCCAATTATGTTATTTTTTTCCTGAAAGAAATATCTCAATCGAGCCGGTGAAATAAGTGGCTCTTTTTTGTGCTCGGTGCTGAATAAATATCATTTTATTTTTATAGAGGCTATATATTTGTTTCGTTTTGCTTCATTATTCAAAGAAAACAAACTAGTTTACGATTCGTTGGCAAAGAACCTTGTACTGTCAATATATTTGTAATGATCGGTTTTAGTTAATAGTTTGATGGGCGATACGGTTAACAGTGAAGACCAATTTCAATTTGTTTCAATTTTATTGTCTCAACAAATTTATTGTTGAGACAATGTATTGCTTCTGGCAAGCGGCACATAACTTCAATATGATACTCTATTTTGACCTTACGACCATGTGGCAAGAACATCATGTGACTGATGCACTTCGCCACGGTAACGAAGAAAACAATGAGCAAAGCTTCGACATTCGATGAAACTCGACGTGCTTTTTTGGTCTTAGCTCTGCTGGGCTCATCCATTGGGACGATTGAACTTTGGTTTCGATGTCATGACCATATACCCATGATTCGTCGTATATAGTTTGAGAAGAGAAATCGATGACCTTTCAAATGATGTGTCATTCGACTCCTAATCCCACTTGACTTTTAAGGGTTGGATAACACCTAGCTGTGGAGATGGAAATGACAATGTAAGTATTTTTCTCTTGAAATGTGCATCTACGACTCCGAGAGACTTTCGTTGTGAACGCCAACTGTGATAAATCAGCCTCGAATCATTTTCATTGGCCCTGCGTATGCGATTTATGCGAAATTTGTCAACTCGAGTAAGGCGCAGTTTACACTGGAACGATACGATAAGTGATGCAACAGGTGATTCAATAAGCAACCCGATACTGATTTGACACCGATCACTCATAATCGTGCATACATAATGAAAGCAACTGATCTAGTGCACACTGAAGCGATTAGTATCGCGATCGATAATTATCGGAGTCGCATCCGGATCGCTTGAGCGAAAGAAACGCGCAATATCGTTCGTCACGTTGTCAGCAAGAAGACGTGCAATCCTTCATTTCCTTCGTTAAATTGGTGGAGCAGAACCCCTAGTTCTCCAGTTCCACTGCCGAACTGTATTCAATATTAAACATTATATCTATGGGTGTACTCAGTATTTTCTAGATTCCCGTTTCCTCTTTTGCAAGTATCGGTAAGCAAACACAACGTCCTCCTCTGAGGAGCTCACGACGACTGATGAAAACAACTGCTCTGTTGCTTATCATATAGGCTATCGAATCGCTCCACTGTGCACTGGAGTGTTGCGAGTATAAAAGTTGCATCGAGCGATAAGAGATTGCTCATGTTTCATCGCTTACTGTATCGCTCCAGTGGGAACGACACCTAAGGTGGTCAGGCGAAGTCAAATATCTGGGAGTGATATTAGTCGACCTGGAACCAACACCTAGGAATGGTGAAAAGAAAGGTGGAGGTAGCACTGTTGGTGGCCAGACGAACTTGCGGAAAGACAAAGTGGTTGATATAAGGCCCTACACCATAGCGGTTGAACCCATGATAAGATAAACTTCTATGATCTGGTGACCAAAGATGGATCAATTGACAGCAATTAACAAACCAAGCAGGGTTCATAAACTTAATGGCTGAGAATAACGAGATCAATGTAAATGACTCTTGAAGCTTCCTCCTTGACGTATTTAAACAATGGGGGAACAACAATTCAAACACTGAGTTACATGGTATCGGACAAAACTGAAACTTCGAAGTATGTAGAGGAACGAATATTCTCCACCACATGAGACCGAAGTATATATGCCACACAAAGTTCGCAGTTGAAGAGTGGAGAATGAAAAGTCATCCCAAGATCATGCTCGACAGAAAAACCTGGTATGCACACTAGTCGATAACAAAATTTGGGATGGGAGCTGGGAGTTACAGTGCTGGAAGAAATTTCAGTTATCCACTCGGCCAGTACACATCAATTTTCCAGACAATGCGTAAAAATCTTCAATTTCAGTTATCAAAGAAATGAGCCACAGCCAGCCAGACCACACTTGGGGCACTGAACCCAAAAGTGAAATTGAAACTGGCCTGAGAATACCTGAGAAAACTGGCGGACAGTACTGATTGAATATATACTGGGCAAAAGAAAACTCAGATGTCACAGGTAATAAAAAAATTCCTGCCGTATTTCTATATATGATATTTTCCTGAATTTATAAAAATTGAAGAGTTGCTTCCTGAATCAATCACAAATTATTGGTGACAGGAAAATTAAACAAAAGAGAATTTATAAAAAAAATTAAAGGAGCTTAATTTGTATTTCAAATGAAAAATAATATTCATTTTGAAGTTTTGAAGCTATTTATTTGAACTATTGAACGAATTGTATGATCACATTTGAGAAAAACCTAGTCATTTTTTTTGTCATGAGGTATTATGATTCAACAAATTCATGATTTAATCTACAACAACCAAAAATATTAATATTCTGAGTGTTCATTAATGAAACAAATGTGTTGTAAAATATTGAATGTTTTTTAATAGTATATTTAATAAAAAAATCAAAACAACCATACTAGTAACGCTTTTTTACCTATTAGAGCAGTAATTAACATTTTAATCCTGTCAATCTAGACATTGGAAGGTACATAAATTTACAACAAGCTGCAAACGCGTGTAATTGTTCGAAACATCGCAATCATTCGGAATTTTAAAATCTTATTTTCAACTATGTTTTGAACAATTACACGCGTTTNAATGTCAATTTTGACAGGTTAAGGAAATCACGTGACCTATTTTGTAGACGCCATTTGACATCATTTCTTAAGCAAAATCTACTGCCAAAATCAAATTTCACATAAAACGATAAATAAAAAAGTTTCCCATTTGATGCGGACTTTATCGGTGACACTGTATATAGGGCCTGAACATGCTGTGGGGTGTTCCAAAATTTTTGATTGGGAAGTGGGTCTGCATTACAGATAAAGAGTACTAGGAAAACATACCCGGAAACATATATCAGGAAACCTTTATAAACAGACCGTCCAAAAAGAAAATTGAAGGACTGCATAAAAACAAGTATCCACTCAGAGCAACTACAGGCTTGCTTACTAGCTACTTTCGAGAGGACACCTGAGCAAAATAATGCTGTATAAGAGATAACGTAGCTGCAGGCAATGCAACAAAGCGTGTGTACCAATCAGAAATTATAGCTGGATGGAAAAACTTGAAAGTTGTTTCAAACGATTAACTTACAATTGTTACCATCACGAATTGTGCATGAAGACAACGAACGAATAAATGGAAGCCAGTGAGCTGTTGTATATTTGCGATTTCTGTTCCAAAAAAAAATTAAATTGTCAAGGTTGCAGATCATCAGATCACTCAAACATTGCTGGAAACGGATTCCACTAAGTTAATGTACTGGAACGAAAAAAAAGGTGAGCTCTACTTTGTTTTATTGATTTGGTATCAATGAAAATGCAGTAGACGTGACAACGGAACTACGAACCGCATATTTCCAGTAATTTTTTTTGTGAATTGATTAATATTATAATCGTTTTTCATCACAGTAGACAGTCCAGGAATATTAGACTTTCACTGCTGATGAAATTGCACCCCACTGCTTTTTTTAATAGAACTTTTTTTATCGTAAAGAATCCCACTAAAGTGCGAGCAAACCTGAGGAAAGCGTTTTTTCTTCAAAGTCAAAATTGCACTATTTTTTCTAGTATGAAGTAATAATAATATATAAGAACATGGGCTTTCACGGCCGGAATAGCAATTAAAGAAAACAAAATCCGGCCGTGGTCGAATGGAACTTGTGCCAAATGTTTCGTCTACTACTGCGGCAGACTTCATTAGTGGTATGTGCGTTAACTGCGAGGACAAAAGTTATGAAAGGGTTTCATAAAATGTTATACTACATAAGACAATGAAATATTAAAGTGATAAAGGAAGCAAATATTAGAAGAAACTACTAGATGGTAATAAGATTGAGTAAGACAGAGGGAAGAGGAAAAAATCAAATCTAAAAACATAACAACGAAACAAAAATTACGAACTCTATGAAAAGTAAGGAGGCTATGAAGTATCATAAATTCTTTATCACGATTGTTTTATTTTATTCATTTTATTGTATTTTTATTTAACGTTTTATTGCTTAATATAATCGATATTTTAGCTATTCATTTTAATTTTATTTGTTCTTTCATATATTTCGAATTAATATGCTTAGATAATGGAAGTCCGAACTAGTATTATTATTTCCATGTTCGTATTTCTATATAGATTTGCACGGACACCAGTGACATGCTATTAACCCGATAACCTTAACAGGGCAAACATTTTTATGTTATATTCGCAAAAAATACAGTTCGATATGTGATACATTTCGTGAATTCATAAGGATTATCAAAACAATAACAAGACGTTATCAAAACCAAACAAGATTGGTGCCTACCATAATTTTATCGATCTATCCACAATAAGACATACCAAACAATTTCAGTCAGTTACATCGCAATCGAGAGTGAAGTGTTGAAAATCAAAAGTTACGCCATCTTCTAGTTTGATCTCGCCATGGAACCCAGTCATTGGAACTCATAACTTCCATGTCCGGTATAATATATTCAATAAGAAAAACGCATCGCTGATGAGGGAGTTATTGACCTTGTTATTCAAACAGCGAACTCAAAAATTATTAATTTTTCTGATGTTATGAACATAGAACTGTTATAATATTCACCAGTTGAGTGAACACGGCTGCGAACTTCAAATTGCGTTATTTAAGTTATGCTGTCCAAGATATTTGATGGTATGTGTTTTCGAATTACTGTATTTCCTTCGTTATGGATGCTTCCTAATCATTAACATATTTTTTAATCATAAAACTTTTTCATAATGAACAAAATATCAAAATATGCCAAAAAAAAAATCAAAACTATCAAGAATTTGAATACCAAATTGAAAGATAAAACGGATACTACAAAAAAGTCAAATATGATTTATAACATCCCTTGTAACAATTGTAATTTGTATTATATTGGAACAACATCTGAAATTCTTGAAGATAGAATAACTTCACATAAAAGTGATATAAGGCTTAATAAGGAATCATATGCATTAGCGCAACATTCTATTGAAACAGGACGTATACCAAATTACTCCAATATCAAAGTTTTACATACAGAAAAAAATATTTCCAAACGCCTTTTCCTTGAACTGGTTGAAATCAATAGGTCTTCTGATTGTATGAATAAGAGAACTGACATTGACAATCTCAACATTATATACAGTAACTTATTGGAACTACACCAAAAAACATAATGATAATAATGAAAATTGTTTCAATCAACTCTTCCTTTAGAGTCAAAGATTATCAAATCATCATGCCCATTGAAAAATGACATTTATGTTCAACTTTCTTTCGTCGATTTATATGTTCAATTCATTTTTACTGTAAGTATAATTTGTAATGTTATTCATTGGCGAAAAAACCCACAACTTATTAAATTATAGGCCCTGAAGAAGCTTCCCATAAGAAGCGAAAGCTTGGCAAAGTAAAGCAGAGTTTTGATTTTTGATTTTTTGACTGAGAGACCCCGTTCATTTTACTGTACATATCTCCAGTCGCTAAGATTCTCAACTTTTTCAATGGAATTACTTAGGAATTACTAAAAATTTCTATTTTCGTGGTCCGGAACCTGTACCCTGAAAAAGCCTTATGTAGGAAGATCCGACGATGGAAACTCGATTATATAAGGTGCCCCTGTTTGCTAATGTTACTGTTTACAGGACGTCGTATCACAGACAATTTGACAGATCTAGATCTACAGAATACCTGCTCTGAAAAATGTGTTGCACTCTGTACTCATAATTTTTTAGAAATGATAACATTTCTGTATCGCAGATAACACATCCTGGGCCTAGAATAGATTAGAGTCGCAGAGTTGGTGCTTTGAAGATTGAAATCACTTTCGTAGCCTTCAGTCGGACTTAAAGTTTATAAAACCGCGACACGTGTTTCGCTATACGATAGCATCCTTGGACGTCACAATACTTATTGTATTTTGTGTTTGTATGTATGTTTTTTGAATACGTCAGTTCTATCATAACTAATGTTTTAGTTTTTTCTATTTTGGAATTTTCCAAATGATAAACAGTGAAGTCAAACTGTTGATGAATGTTTTGAAAACACTCATTTTCTACACAAGTACTTTTTCTGGGCTGGCATCAGTTTCACATCTGAGGTACAGAGTTACGAATGGATTGGCGATTCAATTACACATCAATCTTCTGTACTTTTATCAGTATTTCTGGAATATTCCAAGTTTCATGGTTACCATTAATCACTATCTAATGTAGGGCAGTGTTTATTATGGACAGGTGATTATGAGTAGTAACGAAACACACACAGAATGATGATCGGATATGAACAGGTGGTGGGTTCATTGGTGCTTCTTCAAACTTTTGTACAGGATTGGACTTTATAAATTCACAATAAAATATTGGAATTTCAGACAAATAATGTAAAGAAAGTACTTTCATGGAAAATATGAATTTTCATGAATTTTTTAGGCTGATTGGGAGTATGTTTCTACCAAATATTAATAAATTGCCAGATTCCTGGCAATTTCCTCGTTACGTATTTTCGAAAGGTTAAAACATACCTGGAACTTAAAGCTGATTGTGCTGACATCCTAAAATTATGTTCTTCTGTGTCAGAAGCCTTCGCCTAAATAATACTTCATTAAACAAATCTATCTGACATCTTCTGTAGGGGTAGGGAGTTATAGATTAATTGGGATCGCCCACCTTAACCTAACCTCGAAGACTCACTACAGTTACGAAACGATTTGCTATAACAAAGGAAGGAGTTCAGGAGGGCTCCAGTGTGACTTTATACAAAATTCATTCGGTATTCTTCTATACATATATGGATGATCCTAGATGCAACATCAATGATTTATATTTTTCGTGAACATGACTATGCTATTCGCTAATCAAAACTGAAAAGTGGTTGAACGTATTTTGCTACAATCTTCTTCTCTTTGTTCCAGATATAAATGGCAGCATTTCCCAAAAATGGAAACGCCTTCGTAAATGTTGTGCATCTCTCAGAGGCGTTAGTGTACACGATTCGGAAACATCTAAAAGTACACTTCTCGAATCCTCGACACCTCATATTCTAGTCAATACTCCCCACACCACTTCTTCCCTGCGCATACCAAACACTAGTAAGAAAAGTAGCGTCCAAGATATCTTGAGGGCAAAACTGAGTCAGATACATGTAGGTGAGTATACATTTTGATTTTTTATTTTTGAAGTATCCTAAAATATTCATTGAATACCTCCAGAGTCTGGGTAAGAAATGGAAGTTCATGTTTTTGATAGCTTCCACAAATCAAACTGAGAAACAACCCTTAGATCCGGCACGACTGAACATTATCAATTAGTAATTATCAGTGAGGGGTCTCTAATAAGCCGAACTTTGTTGGAAATCCAGGAGCTTCTAAGTTCATTCGGATGTGAGTCACACATACGTTTTTTATTTTTACTATTCGACTCCGACTAGAGGTTATGACCTAGACCAAATACCACGAGGGTCTCGACTGTGGTGGAACAAAACAAATAATTTCAATTTTTTCTTAAACTTTGAAAGGTTGTGAGATCTTAAAAAAATCTCTTCTGGAAAAAGTTTCATAAATATATTCAGTGAACATGAATAAATGTAGTTATTTTACCACCCTTAGAAATGTCCCCGAAAAAAGAAACTCTCGTTATGCTCTAAAGCCTTCAGAACGAATTTCTCTACTTTGACGTATGCACCAAACTCTTACGAATGTTCGAAATATATGGGCACTTCAATCTAGCAGATCACTATTATAATATTCATGCAGCCATTGTTCATTGTGGTTCTGGCGTTGAATTTGGTCATTATTACGCCTTGGTCAATTACCAAACGGACACGGCGATAGTCGTGTCACGAAATGTTCTGGCGATGTATTGAATTTATTGGAGCCTCTACATTTTGTTCTATGAGAGAGGACACTGGCAGATCAAGATCTTCAGATGATGTGGTGCAGCAGGTTTTTCTGGGTTTTCCTGCAGCTGGGTTTTCCTGAGCGCCAATCAATGTTTATTGTTTTATAATTCCATGATTTGTATTTTATTTCTAGTATAATTTGCCATGTCAGTATCAGAATATACTAAGTTTTAAAGAATATTTAGGTATCGGGAATCACACACGGGAGCAATATTTCAAAACGAGTCGAATACGCGCTTTATAGATTCATCAGAAGTTACTGGGGAGTGAAATACAGAAGTATTGATGTTGTGGATTGAAATTATGTTCATTCCATGAGAAAGAACTGCTGATGGTGACTTTGAGCACGATCTTCTCGATAGAATATAATTTTGATGGTCCATAGTTATGGACTGTATAAATCTTCTTCTTCTGCTGCTCCTCTTCTTCTCAATCCCTGCTTTGATGAATCAGTTCGTCAGTTACTTTCTCAGACGCTTCCCTCATGAAAGTTTTTCCATGTGTGTCTTTTCAGGTATATTCTCTACGATTCTCAGAAAACCATTTTCCGATTTTGTCTCGAACAATAGATTTTGGAACCTACATAGCTAAGTCAGTATATGGAACTGGTAATCCATATCTTAGCACACTCATCATCTTTTTCGTTGCTTATAATTTCTAAGTTTCCTGGCCCTAATGAGTCAATCTATTCCTATTCGTCAATGTCTTCAGTTCTTCATGACGATCCTAGATCAGTCTCGATGTCGAACTTGGATTCATCAATGCCCGAGTGCAGCCAGTTTGTCTGAATTGATCGACCCATTTTCCCATGTACTCTAAGATTTCATCCACTTTCACCTGAACAGGGATGAATATTGACCAATATATTTCAGCTTTCAGCTCCTTGTGCGGTTTTCGATCAATGTGTATACTACGTATTCCTGCCTGTATTGAGTCTGTTCTTGGTATGACTGTTCATCATTCACTGTTCGCGATTAGTGACTTCAGTTATGAAGATTGTGACACCTTGTTATCATGTGATCTTTGAAAATCTGTGATGATATTCCAATTTTGTGGGATCCCTTGTAGCTCGTTAAATTTTGCAGAGCCTGAGTTGGCCCACTCTTGCTCCCCCATTTACGTATGGGTGGTAGATTCAACGCAGTCTTTTCAAAAGAAAGCATGGACAATGATGATTGTATTGAAGCCCAATGAATTGGTTGTCCCCCATTCCACAATCTTTGCCAGGTTCTTGTTCATGAGGTTAACTTGATTGCTCTGACTGCTCTCACTTTTGAGAGATCTAGTGTGTAACCTTTTTATAAGACGTTACCTCGTTTGAGTTTTATTGAAACATCTTCAGAATGCAGTTTTCTGGAAAATTTCGAAATCAAAACAAAGAACACGACAAAAAAACATTGTGATAAGAATTCTTCTAGTGAAGGGACATGGTTGTAACCTAACTAAATATTAGTTTTCGAAATATATTACAATCCATGGACTCTGACTATGAAGAAATATCTTTCATATTTTATCGGACAGTAATGTTTTCAGTTGTCGTTAACATTCTGGAATGTACTACTATATTAAACACGTATTACATATATGATTTTTTCAGTACCTTAATGAGTGTTTCTGTTGGTATTTGGAAAAATTACTATTTAATCAGGAATAATTGACATTAAACGAATATTTAATTGAAAGCGACAGATGAGTTGTCATTACTTAACTTTCAAGTCATATGATATTTTCGAGTGCCGGTTCGGCTGGCGGCAGGTGCCTATATTATTACACGTGCCAATTGATTGAACGTTACCATTTGTGAATGACAGCCGCAGAAGAGTTGAGTTTTAATAATCTTGGAAACATCCATGAAATATACTCGGGTCAGAGAAATAGTTTGTTATTTTATAAAACATAGGTAATTTTGTACTGACATTTATACAGTAACTGATTTTATCGCTGACACTTTTTGATGTTCATCAAATTTAATTTACTCGTCCTCCACAGCTGAAGTTTCATTCATCGTGGACCAATAGTCACCAGTTCATCATTCCTCATATCATAACTGAAAATATCAAAAAATAAGTTGGGTTCCTTTTTATAATCGCCTATTCTCTTGTTTTATCGAATGTAGATGATAACAAACTGAAGTAAAGAATAATAAAGAAATTTCTGGTTAGTTCATGAATTTATTCATTGTTAGGGGTCCATTATAATTTTCATTTTCCTTCGAAGAATCATCAGAAATAAGTGGCCAACTTGAATACTCATTTTAACTACCATAAGATTAATTAATTCGAAAATGCATGACCACAGTGATTGATTTCCAGTCTCCACTTCGAAAATGATTGAGCTATTGATTTTATTAATAAAACATTTGACCATTGAATCAACCATCTTGTTGCAAAAGTAATCAACAATAATATATTTTTCAGCTAACCGCTGTCAAAAATTCTGGTTAGTAGCAGTTAAGAAGTGGTTATGTGTGGAAATGATCCTAAATGTCTTCTGCACAACATTATTTTGTTTCCTATTAAATTGTCATTATCTTCTCAAATTTGAGTAACCATGATATACATTTCCAGTTTTTCCAAGCTGAAAAAAAACCCATATTTTCCGATTTTCCTAGTTTCAAGTACATGTTTTTGTGTAAATCCATATTTAACGTTAAGGTAATCAGACAGAACTGTAGTTAGGTACTGGAGTGACGTCAATTCCATTTTAGTCAAGGAGACATGTGAATGATTATGACGGAAGGGTGGCGATACAAGCGAAACGAAGAAAAGACAACTCATATATCTAACTGTTTATATTGGAACAACGCGTTGAACCTCTACTAGGATAAGAGCGCCGATAAGGGTGCATCCATGTTGGAGCAGTGATAAACGATGAAAGCGGCGATACCAGCGAAGCAAAGAAAAGGACAATAGTGTTTCTCATATAAATTATATACTTATTTTGAAGCAACACTTTAAACCTCTGCTAGAAGACGACTAGTGTTAAGAGAGTCGATAATCTGCAATTGAGTTTTCTCAGCTCTTATCGAGAAACGATATAAATAAATTATTTGGCGAAGGTTAGTTGTAGAAAGGTTAGGTTCAATACCTTCTTGGTCGATTATTATCATATGTAGCAGGCAAATACACTGACAGTTCACTGTTAACTCATCTACTGAAGAGTATCTCAATTTTGCAATATACTGAAACACAGCACTGGTCATCACACATATCGAAGTCCCCGTGTGAACGTTACATAAAACCAGATAATCGAGCTTTCCTTTGATCACTGATCTCATCGACGCTTTTGTCGTTTATCGCTACTCCAACATTGTTACCAAATTCCATCAATAAACAATAAAAGATGTGAAGCTTTTTCTCAAATAAAAAGTTCAACATCGATTTTTCTGATGACGAATGAATTGATTCTGCATAAAAATACAGAGGCAATGATTTAGGTGGTAATAATAAAAATTGACATGTTATTTGAGTTTTCTATTTTCGATAGTACATACTGTCAGTTAGCCATAATCGAGAGTTGAAACTGTCGATTACCTATATCGACAGTTTCAACTCTTGAATATAGCTAATCGACTGTCTAATCTAATCTAATCAACAGTTTGATTAGCGCAAATTAACAGTTTGAACCGTCGATTATATAATAAAATGAAGAATTATGTGTACTATTGTATATTTTTCAACTTTTATATTGTTTCTGTTTCTGGTATTATGCCCATGTATTTCAGCCACATAAGTTAATTTATTCTGTAGGTATACAGGTGAATATCTAATTTTGATGTTTTAAATAAAAATTAGTGTTTGGTACTCGAAGAATTTCTTCAAAGGTAGCCATTGAAGGGTTTGCAACGTATTTGCTACGGGTGTTATCCTCGAACATTGTAAAATTATTCGCATAGCACGATTCTGCATCTTTTGTAGTCTGTTTATTTCATTTTGATTGAGAAACAACAGAATGGTAGAACAATAATTCAAATGTGGAAGGATTGTGGAGTTGTAGACTAATAATTCAGACCACTGGGTCATATATGGGGAACTTCTTCTTAAATAGTTGATTTTGTAATCTATTGTTTTGATAACTTGATTAGCATGTTCCTTGAATTTCAAGTTGCTGTCAATAGTTACACCCAAGTACACGAATTTGTTCACTTTCTCTATGTTACTGTCATTCAATCGTAGAAGTATGTTTTCATTATTATAATCTCTATGTTTCCCTTTGTTTTCCCATTTTGTTTTATTTATATTCATCTTCAGCAGATTTTCAGAGCAATATCTATGCACCCTTTCAAGACTAGCGTTTATAGTATAAACACACTCATGTACATCTTCACTACTGAAGTACAGTAGGGTATCGTCGGCAAATAAGTGAATTCTACATTCTTCTGCTACGGTTAGAATGTCATTTCAATATATGAGGAATAACAATGTTCCCAAAATGGACCCTTGGGGTACACCTATATTATTTTGCATTTTATTAGAATAAACTTCCTCTATTTTCAACCTTTGCTGTCTATTGCTCAGATAATTCATGATGTTTAATGCTATTCCATCAATACCTGAGCTTTCATACTTTCTAATCAGTCTGCATCTATCTACAGTTTCGAATGCCCTTTGAAGGTCAAGAAATACTGCAATAGTATACTGATCCATTTCCGCACCTTTTTTCCAATCTGTTAAAACACATGGTAACGCAGTTTCACAACTATGTTTGCTCCTAAAACCCGATTGATACTCACAAAGGACCATATTACTCTCCAAATAATCCACTATCTGTTCATATACAGCCCTTTCCAATACTTCAGCTGTAGCCTTAATCATGTTTATTGGTCTCTTGAATAGCTTGGTTTGTATTTGGTCCTTCTGGTAAAGGTATAATAGTAGATGATTTTAGTTCAGTTGGTACTTCACCTTTCTCTAAAGAACTGTTGATAATGTTCCACAATGAATTACAAATGGCACTGAAACACTTCTTCAGAAGTTCTACATCAAGACTACTTTAATTTTTCACATAACAAACAATTCTTTCTAGATCTACCATATTGATAAGACTAAAGTTGGACAATTTATTATCAGTTATTCTTTCAGTTATAGGAAAACTATGAGAAAATTTGTTGTCTATTGCATCAGATATATTTATTATACTTTTGATTATACTTTTGTTTTCAGGCCATTTGGTATCAAAGTCCTATCAGAAATTATTTCACCATTGCCCAAATCAATAGGTGTAAGATTGTATTCTTTGTTATTATTCGGTATTAATGTCTTCAGTGTATGTTAATATAATAGTTTGTGTGATTTGAAAAGCTCTTTAATTATGTTACCTTTCGAAACTCCTCTTAAATTTTTTAAACCATTGGGGTTATTTCAGGTTTAAGGAAACGTAGGGCTCTCTCCGTGCAAGAGTTTTTCCAAAGTCCAAGCCAGGAAAAACCTACCACTTTCTATGTTCCATCTCCGAGTCCTGATATTAACACCGCTCAAACAAGAAGACCCAGATCCAGACAACGAACCGTCAATTCCTTCACATTCAGTCCTTCCCAGAGCAAAGAGTACATCAAGTGTCATAGTGGAGAATGGGACCGCCTCCCGTACGAACCTCCCCCAGATTACGATGTAGACGAGAAGCCCCCGAACAGACGGTGGTCCGTTGTCACCTTCAACAAGGCCCCCGAGAAGACACAAACAAAAATAGAACACGTCAACATCAAGATCCCGAAGACGAAATTGAATAAGCCATTCGATCGGGCAAGGTCACAGTCGCCCAGTTGTAACAAAGAACAAACCAAATCGATTAGATGTGAACAAGGGAATAGGCGAGTGACCAACTCTAAAAGTCATTACGAACTCATAGGTGCTAGACAAAAACCGGAAGGCAGACGGGACTGCGAACGTGAGCAACAGGTAAGTAATTGTTTCAAAAGCATACCATTATTTCTAGACATAGGCGAACGTACACGGGGTTCAGAGGATTCTAAAAATAATAATAAAAATTGCTTCTAATCATAGCGGAAAACTATAAGCGCATCTTAATTGACTTCCACTTACAAATATTCAATAGTGAATACATTGCGAATTCTATTAATTCGGTCTAATATGATTCGAAATCCATGGAAGTCCGAACTAATGAAATACACCATGAAAGATTATCAACCACTTTGAGACAAAAGAAAATACATTAACACTAACAAGAGCAAACGCACAGGGTGGCTCATCAAAAACAGTCTAGCAATGTTTCCGTCAACCCGTTTACTTTTGTGAAACTGACATTAAATTTGCTTTGAAATTTACTTGTTTATTAAATTTGACTTCGCTTCGCCGAGTAATGAAGTTTCAAAAATTTCAAGGGCATCTTTTCACAAATAGGTTAGTGAGGAAAAAAATGTTTCCAAATCAGGAAATATCTGTCGATGAGACGACGGTACGTTATTTCTGTGCTTTTTTGAAAATTCGATGAAAATGGTTTGTTCTGATGCAGAGAGAGTGGAAGTTATTAAATTGTGTTTTATAAACCATCAATGTGCATGAGTGAGCCTTGCCGCAAAGTAAAACTTTATTATAGAAACTTTTTAATCACAAAAATAGAACTGACACACATTATTTATTAAGAGAATATACACAGATTCGATTTATTGAAAACCTCACATTAAATCGATAAATTATTCAATCGCCGACACTAAGAGGTTGCTAATATGCAGACATCCTCAGGAGTCATAACTTGTGCGAGCTAAAGATATGCAGTGAAAATTGAATCTTGGGCCGTCGGGGTTTAACCACGGTTCTACATAGAGATCGATCGAAACCAGCCGGCTACTGTCTAAAGACAACTTTGTAAAAATTCCAATTTTTATTTCGTCAAAAGCACGCCCTTCAGGATAAAACGGTAACCTTCTTCATGGACAAGCTTATGTAACACTGATGTATTTACAGAAAAAATCTAGGCATATATGGGTAGATTGTACTACCCGTACGAATCCAGGTCGGGTCGCTACTATTTTCATGTATACATACATACACGAAATCAACCAACAAAAAGAAAATTAAAAGCAGGTACGGAACAAATTAGAGGCCTACGTATATATATAAAAAGATTGTCTGGCAATCTTTTTTGTATCGACAAGCCAGTTTGGTTTCGGTTTGATTTTTTTTAATGTGCACTAGAATTTGATGTTTTCACATTTTGAGAACTTTTGAATTAATTTTGCACTGTTTACTAAGGCAACAGGTTTATCTGGGTGAACCTTGTTTCACTAACACATTGTCCCTTTCCTAACCAGGGAAATATAGTAGATATCTGTAGATTTTAACTATCTGTAGAGCTTCAAGGCTTTATGAGATGATGGAAGTACACAAACTCAGGTGGTATGGCTGCTGGCTGCTCAAGCAAACTATCCGATATAGAAATAGATCTCGAAAGACATTTCACCAAGTGATGAAAATTTAAGGGGATTACAGGATCAATCTTAACGTAGGTGGCTATATCATGATGATGAGACATATAAATGAAATGTACCCGATCAGGTGGACAGCTTCTACAGAATTACTTCTTGAATTTGTTTTTCTTTGCCAGGTATCACAGTTACTCTGGTGAGTTTATTTACTTCTGGTCGTTTTCACTATGGACTGCTTGTGGAAGGTGTATGTAACCATAAATCATCGTCTCGTCATGGTTCTGTTTGGGTTATATAATGTTTTAGTTTTTTCCAGCTACCGTTTAGCCAAAAATATGAAAGGGAACAATCACCTTCATGTGAGAATTGTTTAGAAAGGAACAATTTCCATTATCAAATTTATATTGTTTGTAAAAGGACAACGTTGATAAGATTATTTGAAACACCGAAACCTTGTCTGTCCCGTACAGCGGTTGATGGTGCTGTCTGTTTATATTTGTGAAGACAATCTGATCGATTTCTCGAGGTCGAAAAGTACACCTAAAATAATGTACATAACCGGAAGTGCGTGGACATCATACCTTCAGTACGAAGGATCTTCAATTCTTCGTGTACTTTTTTTCATAGGAAATGTTGAAGTTGTGCTGAACTAATGCATTGAGTCTTCCGTCATTGATGTTATCAACCAAGCATACGTTCGGAAGCTAAAAAACAATGTTACAATTTGACCTTTGGACAATTTTTTAAAAAAATGTGTTTTTTTCAGAAAGGAAATGAACAATAAGAATTAAGGATCATCAAGAATTAAAAACCAAGTGTAATCAAATTGAGGGCCTGTTACACTTTTGATAACATTAGCTTTAATGGAGACATCCCGTTCGAAACATTCTTCTGCTCATTAGATTCTGTAACGTGGGAGGAGACCAATTTCAGCCACTTATTTAAAACACGAACTTTGGGAGAATAAGGCATTGTTTTATATCGCTTTGTTCACACATTCGAAACAGAACTTTCACAAATGTGTTACTTGATTCCGAGTGACAATTTTTGACTAATTAGTATTTTTTCTCTTGGTACTCTTAATGGAGTTCGAATTCTTTCACAAAGAAATTGAATGGATTTCATTCCAGTCACTAGTGTTGTTGCTAGTTTTTCATAGCGGTTCCAGGAATTCACACTCATATGTCAGTTTTTGTTTCAAAGCATAATCAAATTTGGTATAAAAATACAGAAAATAATGGTCATCTTCATGACGTTGCAGTTTTTCTTGGAAGCAACAATTGAAATGGTCATCCATTCACATTCGTAGGTATATTGATTCTAAGAATTATGACGAAAATGTTCTTCTGTAAACTTTTTGGAAAAAAGCACATATACTTGTATACACATGCAATACATGCATACATATACATATACATCACATATAACACAATTTTCATTTTATTAAACTGAAAGAGGAAAATTAGTTCCAAAATTAGTGAAATGATATAGAATAAAATAAACTTCGAAAATCGGAAAAGCAGAAGAAAGATAATTCTATAACAAGTAGTGCTTCATCAAAACAAAAGATACACACGTGCAATACATACATACAGGGCCGTCGCCATGGGGGGGATCCTCCTTCCCCTGCTTTTTGACTTGGGAAAAGTTGGGAAATAAAAATGAGAGAAAAAAAGGGAGAGGTAATAAGGAAAGGGAAAGAACCAGGACAGGGTTCGGATTTTCCAACATGCATAACTTGGAAATCCCATACTTTGAAATTGAAATTCTGAGTTCTTTGAAATTTCAAAAAAGTTTAATTTCTCCCAAGTAAGAGAACAGTCCTGAACAGTCCACAAATTTTGAAGTGACAATTTTACAAAATTCCCAACTTTTCGCTGTTTATTCGACTTAGAAAAGTTGGGAAATTTCGGGCCGTGAAGATAGAAAAAATAATAGTAGAAAACAATAAGCACAATATTATTTAAGTGTTGTTTCCTTTCATTTGTATTGAATATTCCTAAACATGGTGGATATGGTGGAAGAACAAGGACCTTGGTCCAAAGTAGAATAATTCCCATTATTATTTTTATAATTACCAAAATTAATTTTTGTTTGTGCATACCCTAACGGGCATAAGCATTCAGCCAATCTTTGGATAGCTAAGTAAGAAAATTAATATATTATAGTAATTATTACAATGTGTTAAAACAACGATGAAAATAAAATAAATACTACAATAAAAATTAATTGGCGCTCCGGGGCGACTTCATTGATTCCAGTAGTAACTAATCCCTCTGCTTTCATTTTTTCGAAAGTTGGGAAATTTTGGATTCCCTCCCCCCCTGGTTTTTCTTTTCGCTACAGCCCGGAAAAACCTGCAGCACCACATCATCTAAAGATCTTGATCTGCCAATGAGAGAGAGGACATTGGCAGATAAGATCTTTGGATGATATAATATAAATTGTCATTGAAACTAAAAGCTAATATCCATATTTATGAAGAAAGAATGTCCATACTGTCACCAAGCAAGCTAATCACTATCAGATGTAATCAGTATGAAACACCTGACGAAGCTGTTATGAAGCGAAACACGCGTTGCGGTTTTGTGATATTTTTAGTGAATATTTCACAATGAACTGTTACCTGAATACACTCAATCAAACTTGTGCTCTAGACAGTTCTGATTTGCTTTTTTTGGTATTTTCTGGAGCTCTCTCAGCGGTTCGGTTTTTATCTCCTCAATAGTTGCAAAAGCCGTCCTTTAATGGTTCCCTTCAAACTTGGGAACAGGAAAAAATCGCAGAGTGCCAAATCTGGTGAATACGGTGGCTGAGGCATTATTACGGTGTTGTTTTTGCAAAAAAATACGAACAAGCAATAACGAGTGAGTATGGGTGCATTATCGTGATGCAAAAAGCCATGAATTGTTTTTCCACAATACCGGACGTTTTCTTCGTATTGCTTTTCGAAAGCGGCGCATAACTTCAAGATTCTACTCCTTATTGACCGTACGACCACAGTATTTCTGTATACAGTAGTTTCACTCAGCGTCGGTCCCTTTGATGTCGGTGTCCAGGAGTTTCATTTTTTATAATGATGACGTATTTGACACTAATGACATTTCTCCCTACTACNCTGGGTCTGCGTGTAGAAAATTCAAACCAAAAATCACCCGAAGTGGGATTACTGTATATAGTATACTGTGGTACGACCATGTGGCAGAAACTCCTGATGCACTACGCCACAGTAATCGAAGAAATCAATAAGAAAACCCTTGACATTTGATCGAATTTGTGGCGCACTTTTTTTGGTTATGGCTCTCCTGGGCTCTTCCATTGGGACGATGTCAAAACTTTATACCCATGATTCGTCACCAGTAATGACCCTTTCAAACAAATCATTACATGCATTGTCTGCAATCAAATTTTAATACACTTTAAGTAAATATGTCTATCTAAAAACACAAGGTCCGGCTATTAAATAACGAGACTGTGCGCCTAGAGGACGCCCTAGAGGGATGGGGAAAAACG